ATGTCTATTACGTTAAAGAACTTTAAAATTTTTATATTTTTTTAATATTTTATATTTTAAACAATAAAACCAAATATTAAATAACAATATAAAAAAAAAAATAATTTATTAATAATTTAAAGATATATAAGACAAATATTAATATTTTAAATAAAAAATTTGAGATAAATTTAATTAGTAAAAAATGTTTTTACAGCAAAAAATTTGATCACTATTATATTTTGATTCAACTATATGTTACTAAAAATAAATTAATTAATCAGAAATTTTTGAGATAGATCTTTTGATCAAAATTTGTACATTATGTCCTTACTTTCGGTTATCAAATTATTTATGTCTATAAAATTGACTTTCAGTTATAAAAAATTGACTTTTTATTATAAAATTGATTTTTGGTTATAAAAAATTAACTTTCGATTATCAAATCATTTATGTTTATAAAATTGATTTTCAGTTATGAAATTGACTTTCGATTATAAAAAATTGACTTTCGGTTATCAAATTATTTATGTCTATAAAATTGATTTTCAATTATAAAATTGACTTTTAATTATAAAAAATTGACTTTCGGTTATAAATTGATTTTCAGTTAGAAAAATTTGACTTTTGATTATAAAATTATGTTCCATAACCTAAAGTCTGAAGGAGACATAATTTACTTTCAGTTATAGGACATAATGTTAGACTTTAGGGACCCATTATTAATCTCAATAGAACATTTCTTATTGAAAAGAGATCTTGAGAAGCAGGTCTTTAGAGAAAGCTGAAAATATTTTTTTCAATTTTTACTTTTTCATTTTCTTTTTGTCTACTTAGATATTTTTAGATATTCCCACCCTTTTTTTTCAATCCATTCTTTTGTAGTTTCTTGTATTTCAGTGACTTGAATCAACATATGACAGTAATAACCTGTTGACAATAATGTAGTGGACTAGAAGAGTCTTTACCCAAAGACACTGCAGAACGAAATCTTGTCCCTAAGACTGAACTTAGAAATTATTATGCTTATGATAAGTTAGTTAGATTAGAATAATAGTTTAGCTGTAGTATATATCATGCTACTTAAATAAAAATATACTTATATTTTCAATTGATTAATAAACTAATAATCTAGCCTGACTATGAATATATAAAAAAAAATTTTTTTTAATTAATTTATTAAATCATATAACAGAAGTATTATTAAAATTTATAAAATTGATACTGATTAAAATTAATAATAAAGATTTTAAACTCTTTTGTGAATCCTTGTATATTATTAACAATATATTTAAATTATTAAACTAGTTTATTGGTTTTGCAATATATCAAAAAATATTATAAATTATATAGATCAGATAATATATTTAATGTTTTAAAAAAGAATTAATTATTGATTATAAAATATATTAATATTGAATTTTTTAATTTAATAATAAAACAAAAAAAACATATAATTCTTTACTATTTATATAATTAGAATTATTGTTTTTATAATATTAGCTTAGTCTTATTTTATTTATATTTATATAGTATCATTACATAAAAGTTTTCTTAAGATATATTATCAGTCTATTATCAAATAAAACTCAATAGGGATAACTTTTCTTTAGAGATACTTACTTTGCAACTTGTTGTCATTTTTTAAATGGAAATTAATCTGCCAAAACCAAATTGATACTAAAATAAATTTTAAGAATATAAAAATTATCTATAGTATTTGTTATTTATTGTTTTATAAACTTGTTATTATAATTTTTATTAGTAATATATTTTATATATTTCATATAAAATATTTGCCTTGATTTTGATACTTACATTATTTTTATATACAAATGCTAATATATATACTAATAGTATTTATATATTTATCTATATTAGTAATCTATATACATAAGTAGTTATCTATATTTTATTAACTATGTATAAATACTATTTTATTAAAAAACCATATAATTCATTCTTAATTATTTTCAGATCATTATTATTAAATATAGTCTAGTTATTAGGTCATTGAATTTTTTTTATCTTAAAATCAGATTTTGATTATCAACAGATTTCTCTTTTCATCAAGATATTCTGATTGTTAAGTCTATAAATCAAACATAATTACATACTTGAAGTTTTGAAATTCAATTCAAGAAATCTGAAAAAAAATCTGAAACACAAGAATAAAAAAATAATTAAATAAGAATAAATATAGAAAATTTATAGAAAAGGTGAGATTAAAAAACCTTAGCATCCTTCAAGCTTGAAAATCATATTTCCAGTAAAAAAAAAAATCATTAATGGAAGAAGAATACTTAGAAGATAAAAATCTCAAGAAGATTTTAATAAAAAGAGTCAAATATTAAATAAAGTATTGGGTTTTAAGCCTTGTTAGAACCTCACAGAGTGATTTGCAATAGTAACTTGAAGGCTATGAAGTTAATAATTGGAAAGGTTTTTATCCAAACTACCAACAGAGCAATAAATCACTTCCAAAGTTGTACTTAAAGTTTTAGAAAATTTATAAAACAGAGATGAGTACGTTAAATAGAGATTTAGCTTTAGCAAAACATTTCAAATGTAAAGTATACAAATGATTAATAAAGCATACATACTTAATCTGACTGAGGATTTATAAAAAATATATATTTATTCAATTAGACAGATTTTGAGAGTTATAGATATAGTTATTCGATGTTACTTTTTTTTGTTTTTTTGATGTCTTCTTTTAAGCAACAGATTATTCTTATTATTTTTACATTTAATTCATTCACATGGACGTATGATTGAAAATCTTTTGCTTTACTCGTAAATAAAGTGCTTTGATAAGAATAGTAACTTGTAATTTTTTATATTAATATATTTATCATTGCTTATAATTTTCCACTATAGATTATTCTAAAAAATAATAAATTATTGATTTTAAACTAAACGAAGAATGAAGAAAAAAAAAATGAAATAAATGAAATCAGAAGAAAATGAAAAATAAAGAGAAAATGAAAGAAAGAAAGGAGAAGAAAGAACGAAGAAAAGAAAAAAATGAAGAAAAATGAAAACAAAAAATATAAAAAATAGTCAGAAAAAAGGTGCTACTTTTATAAGAATTTTAATGGATCAAACGCGTCCCGGTCAATTCACGCGACATGCCTTTTTCAAATTATTAAGCCGTTTATTACACGTGCTGGGTGCAAGCGTGGGAAGTGTATATATGTTTCTTATCACGGGTTTGACCAGCCAGCTATTTTTATAACTCGCACGGCCTGGTCCGTGATCGACATGACCCGGCCTGTTTGAAGACTGTTTTCTTTAATATAGTTAACAGAGTCAACACTATTGTGTTACGATTCGTCCGCATAACATAATTCTTTTACTGATCATGTACTTTTACCATATAAAATTTGAACTTTACGTTCCGGCAAAGGATACCTCTAAAAACTCCACCGATTATTCTGTCGATATAAACGATATTCAAAGAAAAGCTTTCGAAACAAAGAATCCTGATCTGTTTTATGTTCCAAAAGATATTTTCGGGACTTTACCTGCGCATCCTAAAAGTAGAAAAGATAGTCATACGTTTTTATCACGCAGTAATTCAAGGGTTAAAGGACGTAGTAAGGTTCGATCGAAATCTCTGGATCTATCAAAAAACACAGTTCACTCTACCGCTCAAGTACCTTCGGTTCCACCAACTCCTGTTTCAAAAGATAACAATTCTTCAACTGCGAAGAATTCACCTTTGAGTTGGGAGACGGTCAGTAAACGAAAATCCGTTGCTTCAACTTCCACCGCGATATCACCATCCACCTCTACTCAAAGCAAAACTCACGATTTCCGATTTGGAAAAATTGAAGTTGAATGGTTCGAGGCTTGTGAAGAAAACATGAGCGACGACAAAAAAAAACAAAGTATTGGATCTTATGCAAACGCAGTTACAGGAGGTCGAAATGAAATTCCCAATAGCGACAGGATTCTGTCAACGCAGACATCGAATGATCCATCATTTTCGCAAACGAACACGAGACCCAACAAGCAAAAAACAAAGTCCAGTAGGGATAACTCGACAAATTCACCCGCAGGAGAGTTTGTTCCACTAAAGTCGGGTACAACAAATCTTAGTTGTGGCATTTTACATCTATACCGTGATCCGAAAGAAATACAGTCACCAAAGAACAATCAAGCAAACGATCCTTCATTAAGCGTGGGGGAAAAGGAGAAACAGGAAGAGTCTCTCAGCGTTTTAGGCAACGACGATACCATTCTAGCGGTATTAGCTGTACCTTCATATTTAAGCGCGTCAGATTTTCTGGGATTTGTCGCACCTGTTCAAAGATTTGTAAGTCACTTTAGGTTTATCAGGTATTATGATGAATTTAGAGATTTACATCAACGATATAGACCAAATGATTCATTTGCTAATTCAAATATGTTTATCAACGCGGATGTCTGGCTGATTGCTCTTTCAGAGATTCGACACCAAATAGGTTCATAGTATTGATGAAATTCCGTCAGTCACGGGCAGCCAATGATTTTTATAAACAATATAATGGTCGTCCATTTAGTTCTTTGGAGGTAAAAAATGTTGATCCTTTTTGTTTTTATTTAGGATTTCGTGTTGCCATGATTTAACCCCTAAAACAATCCTAACAATTCTAGCCTGAAATATGTCATCTCGTTTACATAAAGTCTATCGAATTTAAATCCACCTCAATTCCACCCTACGCATTTCCTTTTTTGTATGATCCTTTTTTACCCTCTACGCAAGAGACACCCAAGATGTCGGCAGGGAATGATCAAATCCAACAGTCACCAATATTGCATGAACTTCCAACTTGCCCAGTGTGTCTTGAAAGAATGGATGCCTCTGTCACGGGGCTGTTGACAATTTTGTGTCAGCATACATTTCACTGTAATTGCCTAAGTAAATGGGGAGATAGTAGGTAAGTACTTGTTTCTTGTTGACAATGCGTGCACATAAAACATTGATAAATTATAAACCGTGGCAACACGACAGCTGTCCGGTATGCCGTTACAGTCAAAAACACTCTGCTGATGATCCATCAATAGAACAAAACGAATGTGGAGTATGCGGTGCCACTGAGAATTTATGGATATGTCTCGTGTGCGGTAATATTGGCTGCGGAAGGTATCAAGAGGCTCATGCGTATTGCCACTACAAAGAAACATATCATTTATATGCTTTGGAATTGGAAACTCAAAGAGTTTGGGACTATGCCGGTGATGGGTAAGTAAAAGAATATGTGTTGACGTATATCACGATTAGAATATTCACTATATTTTATTTATTGTGCATAGATATGTCCATCGCCTCATCCAAAATAAATCGGACGGTAAGCTTGTGGAATTGCCGAGTCCAGATGCTCATCCCCAGATGCAACAAGCACACACGGACCAAGTTGATCAGGTGAGATGTCGTTCCCGTCTGCAAGAATATAAAAAGTTATCCCACTCTTCTGATCGTTGAATTCCTTTCTCGAATAGGAGAAGCTTGACGCTATTGGATTGGAATACAGTTATCTTCTGTCTACGCAGCTTTCTTCTCAACGGACATATTATGAAGAGAAGCTTGACTCGGTAACGCTTCAACTATCAAATCTGACCAATCAATTACGAAAGCTGGAGGATGAAGTGTCAACATTGAGTCAGGATAGGGACAGGTACAAAAGGGAAAAAGAATTGTTTGAGAAAGAAAGAGTACCCAATTTATTAAAGGAGAAGAAAAATTTTGAGAAGAAAGCCGAAAAGTTTGTTGAAAAATCAGAAAACTTGGAAAAAGAGTTGAGCGAAGAAAAAGAGGTAATTGACGTTCTCGCTTATTAATCAAAAAATTTAAATAAAGGAAGTATGATAAAAACTTAATTCATCATTATTTTATTTTTATTTTTATTTTTTTTATTTGAATCCATAATTTTAGCTAACCAAATCTCTGTTGTCTAAGCAAGAATACTTGCAAACTCAGTTGGAAGATAGAGATGGTAAAATAAAAGAACTTGAAGAGCAAGTGCGAGATTTAATGTTTTTCTTTTCTGCGCAAGAAAAGATGATAGAAAATCCAGAGCTGGCCGGCGGTAATGTTGTGGTAGCACCGGAAAATAGTGGGGCGCATACGAGGAAGAAAAAGTACAAAAAGTGAACACGTGTTATTCTAATGTCGATTGTACATTGTACAATGAAAATGTGTCATTATAAATCATTTACACACGAATAACATTTTACATTATAATTAAACAAGTCAATAGTATTTTTTAAAAGGGTGATTAATTAATAATACAGTGGCATAAAAGTTCAGTGGAAAAAAACAAATAAAGAAAAAAAAATTTTTTTTTTCCTTCTCATCTACATCGATTCACGGATGAACATCTTTAAACTAGTAGTTAATTAGAAACAATCGCCTAATATTTTAATCATCTTTGGACTTTGAAGCCTTTGATGCTTTTTTAATGGATGCTTTGTCCGTTTGGGGTTGCTGCGCATCAAAGAGTCCAAAAGGAGAGGGATTCTTGAATGGCCTCTTTAATTCACCTTCCGCCTTTTTGCCGAGCAAGTGGATTTGAACAACAGGGTGCTGATAAAGACTCTTTAGTGGTAGAATTGATTGGATAAATAAAGGCTGGGTAAAACCGAAGTATAGGTGTAAGACCAACATGAATAGAACGCTCGTGCAAGTTTGTTTGAAGAGCTCCATGATTTTTCCCAGGTCATAATCCCGAAATGTCGTTTCCACAACTTGAGGTGCTTCATTTGTAAAAGGTTTCGCTGGTTCAACGTACTTGATTTCGGTGGTGTCTATTCGCAAAAACACGAGATATTAAATTAGATTTACATTTATTTGGAGGGCGTGTTGGATCGACTCACATACCATTTTGTGTCTTTATCTTTGTGGCGGTGAGGTAGCAAAGTAACAATATTAAAGCCTGCACCGAGACGTAACCAATACGAACATACGTGATAATATCAGGATTTTCAAGATCCAATTTACGGGCCACTTGTATGATTACAAGAACAAGCACCAAATTCATAATCTAAAGGTGCAAAGGATTAACAACAAAAGTTGATCTTGAAGAACACTTTAAAGTTGAACTAGGAACATACCTGAGCGTTCATTTTAGATCCAAGATTTTTTATTAAAAAAAAAAAAAAAAAAAAAAAAAAGGAATAAAATAAAATGGTGCCTATATGGATTAATACGAATTTTATCAACCTATTTACGTACAGCACATCACATTTACAGTATGACCACCACTACTACTACCTCAATATGACAATTTATTCGTCATAAAATTTTATCATATAAACAACCCTCCGACAACTGTCATCAAAGAGGTGCACCTTGTTGTCCATTCGCTTCTAACCCTTTTGCCTAAAGATCATAGAGACCCATCCTTCCTCCCTTAATGTTTTTGTACCTTTCACACATTTTAATGTGATGCTTTTTTCACTTGAATGGTTAGTTTCCATTTACCTTTAGAAACACGATTACATATTTTATTGTAACCATCACGATTTTAATCCACCCAAAGCATTTATTAATCGACGACATCAGTTTCGGTCGCAATGGCGCAGACTTATGGCCAACAGCAACAAGCACAACAACCTATAGAGTACACCTTACCGGGAGTAATCCATTTTCTCCAGTCGGAATGGAGACGTTTTGAGCGAGATAGAAACGAGTGGGAAATAGAACGCGCTGAAATGAAGGTGAAACATATAACTAGAATCCTTGAATCTCTATAATCAAATTGGTAATTTTCATTCACTTATTGATTTTTTTTTTTTTTTTTTTTCTTTTACCACAAAAATTAAAGGCTCGCATAGCACTATTGGAAGGAGAACGTCGAGGAATTGAAAAAATTAAAATGGATTTAATGAAACGAGTGAAAATGCTAGAATTTGCTTTGAGAAAGGAGAGGTGGGCTTACCGAATCGCGACATCAATTAGTGAAACGTAAACGATGAATTAATATGCTCAATTAATAGGAGCAAATATTTGGCCGGTATAGTTTCTAGTCCATCATTGACCAAGGAGTCAACTACAGTGTCAGCACCCACAAATGAAGAAGGACGTAAGTTGCGAATTTGCAAATTTTCGTAAGTTTTCTTATTTGGATTTTTTGAAACCTTGTTATTTGCATTCACAAACTAAATGGAATACCTTCTTTTTATTATATAAATACTACTACTAGGTGAATCCGCGCAGCCTTCAGGGCAATCTACTTCGCAACCAAAAAATCTGGCGTCGACTAGGGATCCTAAATACCGTTTAAAAAGTCGTGAAATACTCAAAGCGTACGGACGAATTTCTTAGATTACATCATTTCATTCCCGCGATCTTTACCTATCGCTTAAATAATCTTGAATTTTAGATGTTTGCAAGAGATTGATTACCTCACGAATGCTGCGACGAGCAACACGCCTATAATTAACCGTCTCCCAAATCATCCAACCGGTTTGGATGGAAGCAATGTTTCAACGCGAAAGTCTAATAATAGAAATAGCGCAGTCTATGTTGGGTTGAATTCTAATCCGTACAATGGAATGCCGCTAAAAAAACCCGGCAATGCTGTAATAAAACCATCCAGACCTGCACCTTCAACACCGCTAATAACTTCAAGGAATTCAAGCCCGCCGTTGGAAAACCCAATGTCTTCCGCCGGAGAAGACATGGACATTGTTTTTTCAGAACAGGAGGAAGCTCCTTTCTTTCCCGGGTCGGGAATAGAATTGATCAAGAGAGATACGGGATTTACCAATGATGGACAGTCTTCTCCTGTCGAGTCGGAGCTAGAAAAGAATTGTATTTTAGACATTACCCCTGGGGAAGGTGTCCCAGCAGATAATGGGATTGAGGAGCCAGTGAAAAATGCTAATTCGGTAAATGACCGTGATTACGATAAAAGTGATGATGGTTCATCCACCAATAGAAAACTCAAAAATGATGCAGGATGGAAAATATCAAATCAAATCAAGAATAAGAATAAATTAGCACATTCAAAAAGTGCGGAAGAATTAAAAGAGGAAGAGGAACAATTGGTACGTGAACGACAAACAACAACAATATCGTGATTCCGCTCTCGACCACTATTGATCACAAATTTTATCAAATTAGACGAAGGATGTTCAGAAAAAATTTAACTTATCAGGCGATAAGGTTACAAAATTAATGAGGAATGCAAAAGGTCGAAAGGGTCACGAAATTTTGCGTTTGTATCTATTCTCATAGAACTCTACTTAATAATACATTACATTTTACCGAGGGTCGCTTCTTTTTTTATTTCTTTAGCAATAAACACATCCGACCCGTTATTAGACGAACTTAGCTTATCTGTTGAGGATGATGAAAACGTACAAAAGCCGGAGGTATTATTTCATTCGAATTTCTCGTAGTTAACCTTATATTCAAAAAACTTATTGATTCGCATTCTGATATAGACCGAAAATGGAACAGACAATAAAATGTGGAGACTAAGGTTTACTTTAAGAAGGTAAATAAAATTTTGTGTTTTTATGGGAGCCAATGGAATTCGACCTCATGCTTATTTTATTAATTTAGCCACTTTGATGCCGTGCGATCCCTCTCATGGCATCAATCGGATCTTTTATTTGTCTCTGGATCAGAGGATGGTACCGTCAAACTTTGGGATTTAAAGGGACCTGCTTCTCACAAGTATATAATTATCCGTTGCTATTTTTTCACTGTTGAATTTTCCAAAAAATTAAATCTCTTTTAATACAGACCTACAATGGCTTATGATATCGAACCATCAATGACTTATCGCGGCCATACGGCAGCCGTAAATTCGGTTGTCCTTGGATCGGAACAGCGCAAATGTTACTCTGCAAGCATGGATTCTACTATTAGAGTATGGAATTTACCTCCTCCAAAACGTGAGATTTATGGTCCAGTTGGTAAATACTTTGTGATCTATTCTCTAAATTTTTATAGGTCATCCTCAAAAAAAAAATATATATATATATATTTTTTTAAATTCTTTTTATCTTATTCAGATCCCTCATTAAACTTAACTTCTTACATTGGCCATACGGATGCCATATGGGACTTAAGGTTGTTCCCCATCAGCAGTCAGAATACTCGATTATTAGCATCAGCTTCGGCAGATGGAACAGTCAAAATTTGGAATACCGAAGCGGAGGGATCACCTCTGAAATGTTCTTGGGGTTATTATGGAAGTAATGGTGGAGAAATAGTTAATGGTATAGGTATAGGCGTAAAAGATTTCTTATTCCCGGCTTCACATTTATTCTTCGATTAAAAAAAAAAAAAATTTTTTTTCTTTTCGTTTTTAATAGGTCGCCCACCTGTTCCGACTTCTGTCGATTTTGTTAATAATGACTTGAAGAAGATAGCCGTGTCTTTTCAAAATTCCATCATAAAACTTTTTGATATTGAGACGGGACAGGAAGTTTTGTCATTCAAAAGCGACGAAACGTATGACAATACTCCAGCGACACAGATTAATCGCATAGTTTCTCATCCTACGATTCCGCTGCTATTTTCTGCACACGAAGACAAATACATACGGTTCTTCGACACCAACAGTGGTATGATTTTTACGTGGATTATTTGACTGCTTAACCTTCTTTCTAGAAATTTACTTAACAAATTTTTCGTGTGTACATTAGGTAAATGCAATTTTTCGATGATTGCCCATTTGGATTCAGTTACTTCGCTTGGTGTTGATCCGTCAGGAATGGTACTAATTTCAGGAGGTATGGAGGCGCTTCTTTTGTTCTCCGATGATTTTCCCTTTATATTAACGGTATCGTTTATCATTGTACTCTAAGGACATGATAGTTCTATCCGTTTGTGGGATATTGTCTCGACGAGACAATGCATCCAGGAATTCGTATTGCATAGACCAAAATCCAATGAAGGAGTATTGTGCGTCGAATATCATCCATCCTTACCTTGGATAGCGAGTGGAGGTGCCGATTCTGTTGTGAAGATATATTGTTGATTCATGCAATGGAAAGATTTTATTTTTGCAAAGCCTCCTCCAACAGGGATTATTGGTCGGACATTTGGAAACATTTTGCTATTCCCGTATATTATTGCATTCTACATATTTTTTCTTACCATTCATATTCAAATCTTAATAGGAACCTGCCAAAAAAATTTTCTTTACAATAATGAACTTTCTTTGTATTTAACAGATTTTTATTTTATTTTAAAAGCTTTAAAACAACGTTTTTGATATCCTATAATTATTATATTTAAACATGTATTGAATTTGTATAAAATTAAAATGAATTGCCGTAATTACAGCTCAAATTCAAAATTATAATATTGTCTTAATTGGAATTATTAAAAAAACAAGTTTGTTTGCAATATAATGAAAATGTTCAATTATGCATACCGGTTGCAAAATTTGTACACCATTTTCTTTCATTATTTCAAACTTCGCTCGTGTTCAAAAAATACTCGAGAGAAACAAGAGAATAATGATAACCCTTAATGCAGTTGGAACTTTAAATCTTAACACACCCCTTAACGCATCACTAGTTCGTCAATTTCATATAAATTAATGAGGTGGTGACGTTAATTTAAATGTATCCTTAAAAATAAGAATAAAGCCTAAAGTCAAATTCGAAGGGCATTAAATCATGAAGTCATTTATCGAAGTTTCTCCCACTTCTAATTTTCCTATTCAAAATTTACCCTTTGGAATTTTTTCAACTGAAGAAGCCGTAAGTTTTCTGTCTAACTTTATAATTCTCGCGGTTCATTATATCGCTTATAGTTTTCTTGTATCCGTTGTATGCAGCCGACTCCTCGGGTTGGGGTTGCTATCGGCAACTCAATTTTTGATTTATCGGTCATAGCTCCACTATTCGAAGAGAAAGTCCCTGAATTAAAAAACCCTCATGTTGTTTTTTCTCAGGTAATTCTTTCGATCCTGAATTTCATAGTAAAAACACGCTAATTAATTAAAAAAATTTATATTACAGCCAACTTTGAACATGTTTATGTCATTGGGCAGACCAGTATGGCAAGCAACTCGTAGATTTTTACAAGAAATACTGGCAGACAATAATCCTACCCTACGAGATAACGTTGAGCTAAGGCGTCAAGCATTTGTGCCACTAAACACCGCGAAAATGCATCTGCCAGCTAGTATTGGTGATTATACTGATTTCTATGCTTCTAAAGAGCATGCTTCTAATGTTGGTATTATGTTTAGAGGAAAAGAAAACGCTCTGATGCCGAATTGGTGAGTTTAAAACAAAAATCGCGAAAGTATTCTGATCTGAATCATTTAAGTTAGATGTATGTTTTTATTTTTAAAGGATTCATCTACCTGTTGGTTATCATGGTCGATCATCGAGTATCGTTGTTTCCGGGACTGACCTTAGGCGTCCTAATGGTCAAAGATTGCCCGGAAAAGGTCAACCTCCGGTTTTTGGACCATCCGTCAAGATCGACTTTGAATTGGAGATGGTAATAAGTCAAACATTTGATACCATACAGGATTTAAGCATTTATTCATTTTATTTTCCAAGGCATTTCTTATTGGCGTTGGTAACAACCTTGGCGAGCCTATCCCTATCGAACAAGCAAATGATCATATTTTCGGTGTGGTTTTGATGAATGACTGGAGTGGTGAGATATCTATTCCATGGTACATTCGATCACAAATATCTTTCGTATGAACGAACTAGTAATGCCATTCTTCTTTCAGCTCGGGATATTCAAGGTGAACACCTAAATATTAACCCATCCTTTACGTGATCGGATAGAAAATATTTAAATTAACATCAAAATCTATCAGCCTGGGAATATGTCCCATTAGGTGAGAAATTTAAGATTATATTGATCATAAATTATAAATCGCAAAATTAAATTATTGCTATTGTGATTCAGGTCCTTTCTTAGGAAAGAATTTTGGAACATCAATTTCTCCTTGGGTTGTTACACTCGATGCCTTGGAACCATTTTTGGTTAATGGAATTAATCAAGTATTATTTGCCAATAGTAACTTTGATCTACACTTCGATTTTAATTATTGAAATTCCAATGCCAAGGTATTTTGTATTTTATAGGAACCTGCCCCATTGCCGTATTTACGCGAAGAAGGGCCATCAGTCCATGACATTCGTCTAAGAGTAACGATGAAACGTGAGTTTTTATTATGTATGTTACTTCCTGTACCTTTAATTGAGCTGATTGGATTAATTTTCAATCGACAGCGAATGCAAGCGAAATTTCTAAAACCATAGTTGATACCAATTTAAAGTATATGTACTGGTCATTCAAACAACAACTTGCTCATCATACGGTGAATGGGTGTAATATGAAACCAGGAGATTTATGCGGAACTGGTACAATTAGTGGCCCTGTAAGTATTGATTATTCGCCATTTCCTTTAAATTTCATATTTCACTAATAACACATAAAACAGGACGATGGTACGAGAGGGTCGTTATTAGAAGTTACATGGAATGGAGAAAATGAAATTGATTTTGGCAATGGAATTAAGAGAAAATTTGTCGAGGATGGTGATGAAATTGTATTGACTGGGTATTGCGAAGGTAATGGTTATCGGATTGGATTTGGTGAATGTAGTGGTAAGATTTTGCCTGCTTTATAAACAGCTATAATTTTACTATACCTTATGGCTTACTTGAATTTGGCGATAATTACATAAATAATACGTTTAAAAAATAATTATGTTACATTATAAAATTTAATACATCAATTTTTATAATATGCAGTTGTTCCTCCCTTTAATTTATAAAAATGCCTTGTTCTATTTTTCAAATTATTATATAATTATTTTTTATATTTTATTTTATTTTATTTTATTTTAAACCGCAACTGGTATTAGATGTGGGCTCTTTATTAAGAATAACTTAATGTTGATGATATCAATCATTTTGTACAAGTTATATATTTTTATATACATGCAGATTAACGATAACTTATTATAGTTTTATCCTAGTTAAACTTACTACCACTTCTTAAGTGAGCATGTCTAGTTAGGGATTAGATAGCTAATACACAGTTATCAATAATAAGTTTTGATTAGTTAATATGTATTAAGCTTACAAATTTTGGTTATATGTATACCTGATAGAATATATTATATTTTTCAATATTTTCAAGTATTATTTACTCAAATCTTGGAAGAGGTCATATTATCTTCTTTATCACTATCATAGTATCATATTTGTTTTTATTGATTAGTTTTCAATTAAGTGAAGTATCAAATTGGAATATTCTGAGTTAAGAAAACAAGGTTCTTGAAGTTAATTAGAATAGAAAATAAATTATTAAAATATTTATAATGAATTAAATTAGAAACTTTTCTTCATTTAATTCTAGTAGTATAACCATAGATCTTAATCCCTAATTGATAGAAAGTCAAAAGTTTTATCATTTTGTAATTTAATTTTTGCTTAAATAATTGAATACAACTTTTATAAGATAATCAATAAAACTTGATTAGAAGTATTTTTGATCTTTAAGTAATATTAAACTATAAATCTTGTAATTGTAATCTGGAAGTACTATTATGATACTATTTATTTATAGATCAAACTTTAAAAATCATATATATAAATTTTTTAAAAAAAATATAAAAAATAAAACTAATATGATTAAAAATTCTTTTCACTAATTCTTCTTTTTTGATAATTTTTTTAAAAAAAGTAAACCAGTCTAAATATACAAAAAAGAACTATATATTCTTCAAACCAAGCTATTAAGTACTTATAATATATATATATTAAACTATCTGGAAATATCAAGAATAAAGATATGTACTATAATATTGATATCTCAGATAAAAAAACTCTTTTCGCTAATCCTCTGACCACATACAAAAAAGATGTTCACAAGAAATTTTATATTTCTTTGTTAATAAAGTCTTTACACTTTCATTAAAATAACTTGAAGCTTGTCTTCATGTATCTCCTTTACTCTCTCTTACTTGTTTATAAACTCCTTTGAATAAAAACTTGAACCTTTAGTGACCTGAAAAGACTCAAGTATACACTTCCTCTACCAAGGGCAAGAAGGTTCTAGAAAGTAAAAGGACTGACTAGTGGAGTGTCACCTTACAGAGCTAGAAGCGACAAGAAATAGAGGTTTTGTTGACAAGGAAAGGCTTATTATCCACCTTCTCACATATTGTCTTGTACCTTCTTAAAGTGTCTATCATTTTTCATGGTTTTCTTGAGGGATTTTGCCTACCTCAGTTTGATTCTGAATTTCTGATAGCACAATATCACTTGGCATCTGATTGGTTGACATGAAACACGTTAGTAATTGAATGTAAACAAGCTCCTATTGGTCACCTCACATGTTCCGATGATATCATTAGTAATAGAAAGAGTTGATTGGTGTCCTGTGTCTGTCCCACTCCTCCAATTGGGTTAACCTACAGATCAAGTATTATGAGGCCAATAATATACGAGCAACAAGTCTCCAGGTGGGGAAAAAGCTGCTATTCATTCAAGCTAAGGTCTTTCTCTCCTATCATTCCGGTCAAGCAAAGTTCAAGATCAAGATCTCCTTTTTATTGCGGTTAGGCAATAAGACCAAATGGTCTCTAGTTCATGCTAAGCTCCAACCCTTTGATTACAGTTGAGAATACATTTCCCCAGAAGTTGTTGAAAAATATTGCAATTGATGAGAATCTCCATCACTTTGCAAACCTTCCTACTATTACAAGGCAAAAGGATTGTTGGTAAATCTGACCTTTTGGGTAATGAAAGATGTATACCAGTAAAATTCCTTTAATTAGGCATGGCTACTGGAAGATATTACACTAAAACAACATGATCCAGTTTCTACTAGGTCACATAAGAATCTGGGGTCCATCATAAGTCACCTTTCCATCACAGGTGGATAAAAAATCACTGCCCAAAGAAAGTTGGAACCAAGTATGTCCTGAAAGTAAAGGCTCCCACTAGGCGATAAGTCTCCTCAGATGGTACACAAGAAGGAAATCAAGATCAAGAAT